GATTTCTTATAGTGTCATTTTCTTTTTAACAAAATATTTGATCATGATACGAAGTTCGATCCTCTCCATGACGTTTAACACTACTTTCCTTCAAACATCCACAACACACAAAATAAGTGTGTTAAGTTATGTGTTTCGTGTTGTTTACTCTTTAAAAGATTCAAACTTAATATCTATCAGGAAAAATTCCCACATTCCAATTTTTTTTTTTAGGTTGAGCCACGAACTTTTTTCGGACAACCCTGGTAAGTAAATAATCCAGTTTTGAGGTTATGTTAAATTGGTTACTGTCTTTGTCCATCTATGAAGAAAGACTACAAATTCCACAACTCTTAATTTATGAATCTAAGTAACCTTATCTTTTTGTTTTCTTTGTGAGATCGCTGAACTTCTACGATTTATTTATGTTCCGTCTTCTGTTGTAACCTAATAAAACGAGGCCTAGCACGGCCTGGTGGTTAAGGCGCTCGACTCGCAATCTATTGGTCGCGGGTTCGAATTCTCAAACATGCTCGCCCTTTCAGCCGTGGGTGCGTTATAATGTGACGGCCAAGCCACAATTCGTTGGTAAAAAGAGTAACCCAAGAGTTGGCGGTGGGTGGTTTTGACTAGCTACAATCATCCTAGTCTTTCACTACCAAATGAGGGACATCTAACGCAGATAGCTCTCGTGTAGCTTCAAAAATAAACCTAGGCCTATTCTGATAACATTGAAATTAATAAAGGTCTGATATACTACGATTTTTATTTTAAAAAATAAACAGGCTTCGGTCATAAATCCATACACAACACATATAGATAACCTGATGGTTGTAAACACGAAACTTTCCCAAAATTGTTAATGAAGTGTAATGGAATGGTTAACAATAAATATACAAAATACTTAGCATAAATATGTCTGCCTTAGGTTTACAGCTCCACTCGTGCATAAAGACAATACCGGATTCCAAACTTTGACTCAAGGAAAACTTGTGCCGAGGAAGTGTTATTTGAAAACATTACGGAAGCTGGTTAATTATAACACTTTGTCACCAGGGGGAAGAAAAAAAACAACACGCGCAGAAGAGTTTCTGTTTACACAGTAGAAAGGGAAAGGAAATGTGAAATGTACATGAATGAATACATTATGAAAGGTTATGTTATCTCCCATTAAAAATACAACAATCATTTCTTAAAACTATAATAATTACCACGAATGAAAAACATTTACAGATTTAATCTTTTGACACCATTGTCTTGGTTGGAAACGCATGACTGAACGTAAAGTAAGCTTCACCCACTTCTACCCCCCTCCTCACTGGGGGTAGCCACGCCACTCTCTTTCTCTCTCTCTCGTACCGCTATTTATGTTACTTCATAAAACAAATCATTAGAACGTTTCGGTCACAAAATATATTCTAATAAAACAAATAATTAGAACGTTTCGTCCACAAAATATATTCTAATAAAACAAATAATTAGAACGTTTCGTCCACAAAATATATTCTAATAAAACAAATAATTAGAACGTTACGTCCACAAAATATATCTTAATAAAACAAATCATTAGAACGTTTCGTCCACAAAATATATTCTAATAAAACAAATAATTAGAACGTTTCGTCCACAAAATATATTCTAGCCAATACTTAATAATCACACCAATGAAACAAACAGGAGTTCTTGGTTTAGGTGTAGATTGCCAGTAGGTTTTTTCTTGAAAAAGAGGGTAAATGATGAATGTTTCATTAGGTACGTTCGCTTGTAATAAGTTCCATCTTCTTCTGATTACGCATGTCCTGTAGATCTGTATAATCAGTTCTCTCAAGAATCCCTCTGACTGGTCCTACAAGTTTTCACATTTATTTCTGATGAGAATCCGTCTGACTGGTCCTACAAGTTTTCACATTTATTTCTGATGAGAATCCCTTTGACTGGTCCTACCAGTTTTCACATTTATTTCTGATGAGAAACCATCTGACTGGTCCTACCAGTTTTCACATTCATTTCTGATGAGAATCCATCTGACTGGTCCTACCAATCTTCATATTCAGTTTTGTTGAGAATCCATCTGGTTGAGACAGTTTTAATATTCAGCTCTGATGAGAATCTAACCTGTTGGTCCTACCAATCTTCATATTCAGTTCTGTCAAGAATCCATCTGACTGGTCCTACCAATCTTCACGTTCAGTTCTGTCAAGAATCCATCTGACTGCTCCTTCAGATGGATTCTTGACAGAACTGAATATGAAGATTGGTTGATACAAGGAAAATCGTAACCTTAAAATTTCTTATGGTACATTTAAAATAGCTTTTAAAAAAAAGAATGGATTTTAGAAAAAATATAGCCTAATTGCCTTATAAACTTTCTGTAATCTTTACAGCTCGACTAAATTATTAATTAGTGAATCATGGGTCAGTCCTTGTCATTTGGAATGTTATTAATTACATTAATGTCTCGTTATTGGGTGGTTTCTAAAATAAACTTCGTGTTCCGGAGGTCATGGGGCAGCGCGTACGGTTCTCAACAAAGGCTGGTACGCCTGTTAGCTAATTTATATGCCTACCGTGTGGGTTGATGATGGGCTTCTGTGAAGTAGAAGGTCACGTGATAACACTCGAGATTTATTGCTGCACCACTGCTGATGGGCGACGTGTACTCGCCTTGACAGAAAACTCTGATACCTTCAGGGCATTTGTGCGATAAAGTATCTTTAAAATCGTGCTGGTGCATGTGATGATTGTAAGCTGGCTGTCAGAGCATTGTTGAAAAGAAAACAATCAGATATCAAAAAAGTGTAAGGTGTGTATGAAAGTTTCTAACACACACCTAGATAATTAACAAATGGTCCAGGTGTCACGACTCACAAACTAGCCTTAACCTCTGAACCTGAAGATAAGGAATAAATCTGTAGGTTATTCACCATTTCTCAAACAAGAATTTTATATGATATATATATATTATAAAACCTAATTTCATAAAGTGTTCGATCCCTATGGTGAGTACAGCTTTTACAAGCTCTAATAATAATAAACAGGTGTGAAGTCGCACCATGAGGGGTGTGATACAGTAGATACATCTAACATAAGTATTTACTGCGTACCTTTCGATCACTTGTTGGGGGTGTCAAGGGCGCTAGAAATGGGTGTGATGGGGCATTCCCTGACTTGAAATTTAGGAGGCGCTGTGCACCTATGGGTTTGAATAATAGTTGTTTGTTTGAAATTAAGCACAAAGCTACCCAATGGGCTATCTGTACTCTGCCCACCATGGGTATCGAAACCCGGATTCTAGCGTTGTAAGTCCGCAGACATACCGCTGTGCTACTAGGGGTCTTTTAATAATATGTTTCCATAACAACAACCAAACACATAGCCTCCATCAAATACAGGGTGTACAGTTTTGTTGAATGGCTTTCGGCACCACCACTATAAAAATGTGTTCCAACCCCACTGTGGGGTGTGAACGCAAACATTCAGGGGTGAAGGGGGGGGGTCATAGAAAAGACTTAACAAGCTTATAATCACACCCTATCAAATTCATTTATTACACGCTCTTCCGTTCACTGACCGTGGGGGTGTGGAGACCCACTCTTTTTTCAGCAGCTTTGAAGTGTGATGTGTCAGTGGGGGGGGGGGGCTAAACTGGTCAACTTCAGTAAAGCTGGTTAAGTCGAAGACAGACACATACCTAAAAAACAGAACCT